TCATATTTGACCAATTCCCTTGTCTTGAAGGCAAGTGTTTTTCGTTAGCCTATAACGATTAACGCGATTGCATTATATGCTTCAAAAATCATAAAGTGGTGTTAATATGTGGAGATTATCCTGAAGAAAAACATTTAAGTATCATAAATGTGTGTTTGCCGCAAAGCTTCTTTACTGCAATATACCCTAGTCCAGGGGTCCCCAACCAGTCGATCGCGATCGACTGGGAATCTCCCCGGTCGATGTGTCTAAAAATAGAACAACAATATTCTGTTTTATCGTTAATGTCCTATAACATAATCTTCCTGTGCCAGAATAATGCACTTGAACGCATCAAAGCTTTGTGATTGGCGTGGCTGGTGGGCACTGGGCACTAGTTACGGAGCGTCCATACAGCAGCGTTAAAAAAATCTTGGAGGTGGGCGTATCTGAAGCTTGGGGATGTTTTGCGAGCAAAGCGACCAAAAACCAATGAATCTCCCGCCCCCGATATACAAAGCAAAAAAGCCCGGTTCTTCTCCACTATTGCCAAAATGGATGCCGGTTTGTAGCAAGGGTAGCAAGTGTAGTAGCAAGGGTGAATTTAGTGTATGCAATGTCTCGCAGGAGGCCATGTAGTGTGCGTCGCTGTTGGGTACATCCAATACTCCGAAAATGTCTGCAACGGGGGGAATACCACGTTCTGGTCCAAGAGCGCCGTCTGGATGACCACCTGTTCCAGCAGCACTTTCGGATGAGCAAAAACGTGTTCGACGAGTTGCTCGGAAAAGTGGGTCCACTGATCACAAAGGCGGACACCCATATGCGTGTGTCAATCGGACCCGCCGAGCGACTCGCCATCTGCCTACAGTACGTTTTGTGTATTTGTACTTCTTTCATCTGACTCTGTATAGAAAGAGAGAGAATGCATGCCATGGATGAATGATGACTGAAGTCTGTGATTTAGTTCAGATGGATGACATTAATTAAGATAGCTAGTATTGCAGTATTGCTCCCCTGTGTACATGGCGTGTGTGTCTGTGGTATGTGTGTGTCTGTGGTCTGTGTGTGTGGGGAGGATCTGTGGTCTGTGTGTGTGGGGAGGATCTGTGTCTGTGTGTGTGGGGGGGATCTGTGTGTGTCTGTGATCTTTGTGTGTCTGTGGTCTGTGTGTGTCTGTGGTGTGTGGGGGGGGATCTGTGTGTGTCTGTGATCTGTGTATGTCGGTGGTCTGTCTGTGTGGGGGGGGGGATCTGTGTGTGTCTGTGATCTGTGGTCTGTGTGTGTCTGTGGTCTGTGTGTCTGTGGTCTGTGTGTGTCTGATCTGTGTGTGTGTCTGTGGTCTGTGTGTGTGGGGGGGATATGTGTGTGTATGTATGTGTGTGGGGTCTGACATATATATTTTTTTAATCATGTATATTATTTTTTTCTCAGGTACCTGGCAACCGGTGATTCATACAGGACCATAGCATTCAGCTATCGGGTCGGGCATGCAACAGTGGCTGTCATCGTCAAGGAGGTTGCGGGTGCCATCTGGACCGCCCTGGTCGAGGAGACCATGCCGGTACCACAGACGGAGGACTGGAGAGCCATCGCTGCTGAGTTTCAGGAGATCTGGAACTTTCCAAATTGCGTTGGTGCCATTGATGGGAAGCACGTGGTGATCCAGGCTCCGGCAAATTCTGGGTCCCAGTACTTCAACTATAAGTCCACCCACTCCTTGATACTGCTGGCTGTCGTGGATGCCCGGTACCTCTTCAGGGTAGTGGATGTCGGAGGCTTTGGAAGGAGCAGCGACAGTGGGAGCCTGCGGAATTCGGCATTTGGAGAGAGCCTCAGAGATGGCATTCTGCAGCTACCACCTGACACCGTCATCTCAGGAGCAGAGCAGCTGGGCCTTCTTCCCCATGTGTTTGTAGGAGATGAGGCTTTTCCGCTGCTGGACAACCTGCTGCGTCCATTCCCTGGACGTCACCTCACCCGTGAAAGGAGGATGTTCAACTACCGCCTCAGCCGGGCCAGGTTGGTGGTTGAATGTGCGTTTGGCATCCTCTCATCTCAGTGGAGAATGTTCAGGCGTGTCATCACCACCAGCCCAGAGGTAACAGAGTTGTGTGTGAAGGCCACCTGTGTGTTGCACAACTTCCTCCGCAGGAAGACGATAGGAAGGCGGTCACGCACACCTATCGCAGAGTCCACGGATGAAGCTACTCCAACCCTGTGTGATGCACCGAGGATGGGCTCCAACAATGCCACACGCAGATCCATCCAACTGCGGGAGACCTTCAGCTCCTATTTCAATGAAGAGGGTGCAGTGCCATGGCAGCAGAATGTGGTGTAGGGTCACCATGGCTCTTTTAAGAGCCTCCAAACCAAAAGCTCTTTTAAGAGCTACCCATATTTTCTTTAAAAAGCAAATATTCCAAATGAGCCATTTTAAAATCAAACATTCCTAATAAACATGTTTCTTAAATTGATATTATGATATGACTAACAACCTTTTTCCTTCAGTCCTGTTTTTAGTGATAAACCACTCATTACAACAGGTTTTCACCTGAACAATTACAGAAGACCGCACATTATATATCGACATACATGAAGCTTCTGGTATGTTGCAACCATAGACTGTATATATAAATGGACGTAGGGTCCGTGACGTCACCCATAGAATTCTGCAGAGTTGCCGAGAAGCCCTTAGTAGGCGGAGTCGGCCACTAACGGCTCGACAGTGGCGTCAGAGTTCCACTCCCGCCTGCTCCAAATAAGGGCAAAGAGGCGGAGCCGAGGCGGGACCTGCTGCCACCGGGCTGGAAGTTCCAGAGCTAGCTGAAGCTACCAAGCTAAGCTAACATGCTCCCCATCTGCACACTGCCGTCGCATTTTACGTTTCTAAGGTAAGCGGACATGAGACTATTCAGCAAAACTATAAATAATAATCTAAGTTGAGTTTTTAGCATAATACTTCAGAATCTTAAAATCCCTTAACGTTTGTATGCAATTGTGCTAAATTAAACACTGGAATCAAGCAAATATTAATATGTTTGCATGACATTAGTTATTTATATTTTGCCATCACTTAATTATACGTTTAATACATTTAAGTTAAGCTAAGGTACATGTGATGATAGCTAGTTAGTGCTCTTACCTGTGAGGCCTCCTCCAAACAGCATTATAACCAGACTGTATCATTAAAACTACAAGTACCAGTTCTAGATCCTTGACTTTAGACAAACAATTCAAAAGACAAAATGTATTTAAAGACCAATCTTTATTTGAAGTTGCCTCTTAACCTGAGATATTAGTTATACAGTAATAGTATTGCAACCCAGTCTCACGGCATTTCGTGTTATAGTCACGTTATTTAATCTATTGATTCGTGTGCACCACCACGATTATCCCCTTATTTTCGTGTCACACAGAACGATTTTAAAAGCAATGTATTTCTATTGGTAATGTGTTTCGTGCCTGCAACACGTCTTTTTCTCGGTCTGGTCGTGGAAGACCGGAAGCTGTGTGGTTCATAAAAACATGTTCTTACTCAATATCAAACCACGATTATTGCTTTTATTTAAAATCGTATCATTTCGGACTTTTGTTGCCGTCTGTGAGGAAAAAAAATGGGGCTCAGAGCCTCAGGATACTGAAATCTGTATTTTTAAAATCTTTTTTTCCTTCTAATTTGTTATTCTTTTCAAAATAACACACTGTTATTTACTCAACAATAACACACAATTATCCTTGTTTTTATTTATTGGTTTAATTCGATAATCTCGGGCTTTTTTGACGTCTGTCAGGAACTGAATTTCAAAATAAAGTCCGAAACAATACCAGAAACAGATTTAGGACTTTTCAATAATCCTCAGCGGTGATTGGATGTTTTAGCCGCAATGCACGTAGGGATATGGTGTTTATGCACACATTTCTTTCGTGTCAGAAAGCACGATTTTCAAAGTAATGCATTTTAAGTGGAAGAATTGTTCGTGTCTCCTCTTCGTGTCTCGGGAAGCCGGAAGCTGTATTATTTTCTAATGTTTATTTTTTTTAACCATAACGGGTACTTTACACAACATTGAGTCAAACTTATCCTTGTTTTAATCCTTGTTTTATTTATGTTAAATTCTTGTTGTCGGTTAATTTTCCATTTTATTTATTAAGGTTTAAGATATCATTAGTCTTTTATTTTATTATTATCATGCTTGGTGTTTACACTTTTCTGCATTTTATAAGGCAATATATACTTTTTTGTTTTTGTCTGTAGGCTACTTAGGTTATTAAATAGTTATTGTGTCAAAATATAGGAAATGTATTAATATTTTATTGTATAATCGGTACAGGAAATGACATAATTCAGAGCACCACCACCGGTCCGGCATTGCGATCCATCCTCTGACAAAGTAAGTTGTGTTACTAAAGTCTGATGCATGATTTAATAATTGGGGCTTTTTTTTAAGCCTTTTCTCGCATAGTTCATCATACATAATGAACTGTTCTAAGTCTGAGAAATGCTTTCGCCATAATCAGCAAAGCAACATTAATGTGAAATTATTCTTGCGGGCGGCTAGCTAGCTAGCTCACATTCAACATAAACTTAATCTAGTTTAGCTACATTTATATCAGCTCATAAGTGGTGTGTGGAAAATATTTGTCTTAATTACGGCTACATACTTCGGTGTTAAAGTGTGAGTTATACGTTATCTTAATCGCTTTTGTTTTACACATGACAGTACTAACGCTGCCGAGTGGACATTTAACATATGTTTGGGGGGGAGGGGCATAGTCCATGTGCACGGCCATGTGCTTGTTACGAGTCTGAAACAGGAAACACGTACATGAACTCACTCAGTCTGTCTAAAGTAGTTAAACCGTCACAATGTGCATTTAAAAAAGCTAGTTTCACTACATAATTCACTTTTTCTGTTCTCTCCTGCAGCTCCTGTACCCACACCACAAACCCATACACTGATCTACACCATCATAAAACCAACGGCACTTTTAAGAGCCAAACTCAACCTATCTCTGTCTATCTACCTAGCTTTCTTATAGTTATTGTCTCTATCTTTTTCTATCATTCATTATCTATTTCTTCATCTATCTATCTCAATCTTACAATCTGTCTCACTATCTCTGTCTGTCTCATACAGCAGCTGTTTGTTTGCATATCTGTTGTGTCTGTCTGTCTGTCTGGCTGGCTGGCTGTGTTGCAATGGCAACAAAACACAACCCAGACCCCAATAATCCCACATCCAAAGAAGGGAAACGCATGGCTCTTGAGCTGAAGCATGAACACATGCTAGCTGAAGCTAAGGTTGGTGTTTTAACCCATATGACCTCATTCATTTCCTACTTGAATGTGGCACTATCTCTTATCCAAAAAATGCTGAACAGGCCAAGAGTAACTGGATTTTGGATCAATGTATAGGGCCTTTGCAAAACAGTTCATCATTACAACATGGGGGGCAGAGGCTTACTAAATAAAGCTTGTTCAACTTGTTTTACTTCATTAGTTGGATATGGTATGAAAAACTTGAAGCAAAAATGTTCTTCAAGTGAATGAATTTCCTTTTATTCGTCCACTGTCATATGGTATCAGTTTATCAGCAACATCAACCTTACATGAGTTGTTACTTGGTCACAGAAAGCAGCTGAGGAGAGGAAACGGGCACGCTCTGTAGGAGACACTTTACAGTCCCCTAAAAGGGGCTGTGTAGGACGTGGCAAGCCGAGAGGGAGGCGTGGAGGGCGACGCCAAGGCTCAGCTACAGGTTGAAATCTCAATTATTTTACATTTTTATGAATTTACTAAGTAAATGGTTGGAAAATCTAATTAAAACACAGTAATTGCTTGTTGAGGGTCTACAATAATTCCAATATATAAATGCATAGTGACACTACAGTCTGAGACATTCCCACTGTGGTGTCATAAGAACTATGCTTTATTTAATTTCACAAGCTTTTAAACAATAGGTAGATAATACAAATCATCAGTTATCTGTTGTTAACCCTCTGTGTGATGTTTTACAGTCACATCCCCCCCGACTGAGGGCTTCCAGTCATCCAGTGTGGAGGTTCTGCGTACTGAACCTTCAGCACAACATGAATTTGGTAAATCACAAAAATGGCTTTAAGTTTAAAACTAAAATCAATTTTTAAATAAATTGTGTTAGTGAGAGAAAATAACCTTATACACAACTGACAGTTCAGGACTCGAACGAGGAATAATTCAGTAAAGATATTGGCCAGTTCCATACTGAGCAAAGAAATGATCCTTGATTTTTAGTGTTCATCTTAAATATAGTCATTTACAGTTAAAGTTTCCCATTCTGTTCACAGAAAAGAATATGGAGAGACTCTCTGACATTCTTTCCTCATGTCCTCCTCCTGAGCCTCAAAGAAGCTCTGCCTCATCCTGGTCTTTTCGGCAGCAGAAAGCCTCAGAGCGCTGGAAAGAAGCGAGACCACACCACCTACAATGCCTTCTAGAAAAAGAGGCTGTTGGTCATCCCCTGTGTGGCCTCTGCCACGAGCCGGCTGTTATTAGGTGAGATAACATTTACCTTTATTTAAATTACTTTACCTAATTGTAATTTTTCAGTATTAATGCTCAGTGCTCTGCTATTTCAGCTAGCATGCATGACTTTTGGGATGTTAGAAAACTGGATACCTAGAGAAAACCCACATGAAAATGAAAGTAATTCTAGGATATTATAATCATTTTGTATTTCCTCCCAAGGTGTAGAGAGTGTCTCCCCGAGGAGTGGTTCTGTGGAGACTGTGATGTACTTCATCACAAGAAACAGCCACTCCACAACAGGGACAGTTTAATTAATGGGTTTTTTAAACCAATTAGTCCAACAACGTGTGTTGTTAGAGTGGAAGGTGGATATGACACCCATGACCAAGGTATGCTCTCTCAAACTTGCATTTTGATGTTCACATGTCTCTTTGGCCAGCAGATAATGGTAATTAGTGCTTTTTTTTTTTTTTGACAGCTTGCATATTGCCAACTGTGAAGGCACCCAACTGCTCCTGTAAAGGCAAAAACGTCACTGTGGTACCAGGCAAACCAGTGATTTTAATTACCATCAATGGTAAACAAATATATATATATATATTTGGATTTCTATTGAATTGTTGTTATATTTTTACTGTTGTGGGCTGAGGCATTGTGCTTCCAATTGGAGTAAAACCTTCATGTAATATCTGTTAATCTTTGACTATTTGTAGATGGAACTGTTGTAAAATGTGTCTTAATTATGTTTATTTACTTGTTCCAAGGGCGTTATGACTTGCATCTGCCACTATATGTCTGTCAAACTTGCCAGCAGCAGTGGACCCCCGACTTGAAAGTCCTCCTTAAGAGTGGATACTGGCCAGCTTCGGTCAGTATTTCCACACTTTACACCTTGGACCTCATGAGCTCCTTTGAAGAGCTCAAGGTCATCTCTCCGGGATTCTCCAGACAGGCCTTTGCAAAGCTGCTGGAGCATCGCACAAAGTGTGGAGGAAGAGTAAGTATAAATATTCGTTACCATATTATACATTATAACATTTCCGTAAATAGACAAAATCACAGCAATTATGTAATTATCTTCCAGTCTGGACCTGTCAACGGAGATGCACTGCAGCGCAGCTTTCTGGAGTTCTCCTATGCCTCGTATGAGGAAGACCAGCTCTGCTGTGGTGCTCCTTTCATCTGCCCTGCCTGCACGCCGGAGATGTTGGCTGTTTCTGCCGATGGAAACAGGAAGCTCTATCGCTTTCGGCGAAGTGGAAGGTGCTGTTTTTACAATGTTGTTATTTAACTTTTTTGATTACTGTTTATATTTCATGGATATATTTGCTAATCTTTTTTTCCTTAGTTCTGATGGCAGCGCCTTTTTTAATGGGCTCTTTGTAGCAGAAGACAGCGTGGTGGCTGCATTTGTCGACAAAATACAGAGATCACTGAAAAATGCAAGTTTTTATTCGTCATTTTACCTTATAGGTATATCACAAAAATAGCCATGTATATCCGACCTAGACTTTCTTCAAATTCAGCTACTTCTCCTTACCATCTACTCCAAAATCAGATAATTAGAACAAATGGTGTAGATTGTGATTCCATTGCTTTTAACTGATTTGTCATGATGTAATGTGTGTCTTAGACCCAGGGAAGAGGCACATGTGGGGACTCCCAGTGGACAGCAGCGAGGGAGACGTCAAGGAGGGCTTCTAAGCTGGATGAAGAAGGGATGGAGGTGGCTGTATGTCGCCATGGGTTTCTTTTGAAGGCCTTAAATATGTACAGGGGGGAGATATTCGCCTACCCCCTGTATCTTCAAAAGGAACTCATGCCAGCCAAAGCCATGTTCTTCGCCATGGATGTGGCTTGCAAGTACTGGCCGTACATGGAGAAAGCTGCAAGTGTCCTTCCTGCTCTCCAGGAGCTGACCACCATGAAGCCATTCCTCAGTGTAATGCATGCTCGAGCCCATGCTACCAAATGCGAGGTATGTGAAATATTTTTGTATCGCGTACATTTATATTTTTTATATTTATAATACTGAAGTAGTAAATATCTAAAGATATACTGTTTAGTATAGTAGTATGTAGCCTCTTTGCACAACAATTCCAGCAACCTTTTACCATCAGATTATATGGAGTGGGAAGAACCAGGAGGGAGCAGGGATGACCGCCGGGGAAGAGGTGGAGCAGGTCAACAGCTACCTGTCCCGTTGTGCCCTGACAACCAAATACATGTCCAAAGCAGGTGAGTGGAAGGTTTTGCCCTATTATTGAATACTTTTTTAAATGACACATCATAACCTCATTATTGCTTTCAAAAGCACGACTGGACATGCTCACAGTGCATGCTATGGGATGGAACAGGAAAAAAGGTGACTCCCTTCATCAGGCACTTTCCACAAGATATGTGAAGGTGAGCCTCCTATTAAAGGTGTTGTGTCCTTTGTCATTTGCACATGGCTTGTTGTTAATCATAGCAAGTTTTAATCTTGATAAATGTCCATCGTCTACTGTTTATCAGACTAGTAAGAGGCTCCTGGAAGAGACTGCAAGTCTTGAGGAACTCAAGACGGAGCTACATTGTGTCTCAGATGACATGGTGTCGACGTGGATTTCCGACGTGAAGGAATGGGCATCTGGTAAGCACGACGAGATAACACCAGCCACATATCATTGTCCATGACTGTTTGAATTTACAGATTTGATCCTAAAGAGCAGCCAATGATATAAAGCGGATTTTTCATGCCACGTAATGGGACCCTCACTGGATTTCAGTAGATGGGGACATAATCTTCAAGCAATAGCAAGCCAACTATGTGTCCATGTTTATCTCTGATATGTTCCAGTTTCCATAGTTGTACCATCAATTTGTGTTAAAAGGTGTTACACAACTTTGTTTCTCAAAACCGTTACGTGTTGTGTAACAGTACATTTTACTGCCACTATTATTTCTACAGGAACATCAGAAACATCGGGTACTTCTGAAGACATCCTTCAAACAGCACTGCAGCAAAGCATTGAGGAGCTTTACCTAAGTGTGAGGCAGCGGAAGCAATCCCTTTACCGACAGAATGGTATAACAATATAATGTTTTAGGTTGCAGATTCAACCTACTGAATTATATATATTTTTTGCACTTGCAAATATAGTTTGTCACATATCCCTATCCCTCTACCTCATGTATTTTTCAGACAGCAGCAAGCTCCGTCATCGACTTCGAAGGAAGCTTGCAGACGACAAAAAGCGCCTTAACCAGGAGATACTGAAGTACAACCAGCTGGTACACGACTCTGCCAGAGGCATAGATGTTGCTGCGGTGGAGCATTCCCTCTCTGGAGGGAGCATCATGTCCGCGCTGTGGCCGTGGGAAGTTCATGGCATGGGTCAGTTTTCAGATATTTCATAATAATTAATTTGAAGTTCTGTTATATAAAGGTATACCTTGCTGAGTTATGCACATATCATGTAGAGTGTTAAAACGTTCATTTAGTTTAAGGGTATATCTTAAGTTTTCTTATTGTGTATACATTTGATTATTTTGAAAGTACATGTTTGGAGTTTTAAACATATTGTTATGCTATAATGAAAATGTGACTCATGTATACATAACTGTGATTGGATTTTAGCTAACTTTACAGCCAAGAAAAAGATACTGGATCAAGTGATGCTTACACGGAGACTGCAAGAGGAGAAAGGCATCCTATTGTTGGAGATGGCGCAGCATTGCACATGGTTGCAGAACATGGCAGTTGCTCTAAAAAATAAGGTGGCTGAGGAAGGTAAGTTGAAAGCAAAACTTAACCTACCTTGTAAAGTATGAGTTTTAAAGGAAAAAAAGTCAGCCCAAATCATTCTTGGTCACAGAAATTGGATGGAGTATAATGGCCTTTGCCCATTTGACCTGGCCATTTTACATAATGAAGTCCCTTGACAGTGACAATCATCTTTATATGTACATGGGAGAGAATATACTCCATTGAAGTGCTCTGGCCTCGTGAAGCAATCTTACTGTATAGTATGTCCATATAACAATATTTTGTGTATTTTCAGATGTAGACAAGGGGAATGTAGGACTTGGGTGCACCCTAAGAAGGAAGCATGCTGAGGCGTCGGAGAGGTTGCAGGTGGTACTGCAGCAGTACAAGACTGCTTTAGGTCCTGATGCTTCTTTCCTTCAACATGAAGAGGAAAGTCAAAGTGGCCTAAGCAGTCCAGACACCAGTGAGGATGAAGGAAACATCATTTAGGTAATTTACTTAGGAATTAATGTACAGTATCTTTGTTGATTTAGCCTCAACCTAGACATGTTGCTGTTACTTTTGTATTCATTAATGCTAAACATACATTGTGTATTCAAAAACCTCAAATTTGGGTTCTGATCTGCCCCTCTTTTTTGTTTCTCTGTATTTCCCCAGATTGCTGCTGCTCTCAAGCACGAATATCTGCCAAGACTTGATGTGCTATCAGAAATGTAAATACTTTACTGACTTTATATTTAGAGATTGTATTCATACTCCTCAATGGAAGATCACCCTTGAATATGTTGACCATATGACTTTTCCCTATGCCGCAGCATCATGCCAAACATTTCACTTGTACACAACTTAAATGTTATTGAACAAAATGCTCAGCGTCCCTGGAATGCATCCTGAGCAATGAACCATTCACTTTTGATCCTTTTTGAAACACTAGAATGTAAATTCCTAAATGTCCAAGTATATCTTGCTGGTTACCAAACAACTTGGTGAGCACATCATTGTCCAAGAGCAGGAGGTCTTTCCCTTTTTTCCCAGAACGGGATGCCTATGCATTATTATTTTCGATCTCTTATAGGATTTACCTGTCATTAACTTTATATGACTGCACCTGTTACACTGCAGGCCAATAACAGCTTTGCTCTAATTGTTCATTTTTGTTTCTTTTGCGTTACTTGCTTTTATTGCTTTGTCAGTTATATTTCCTTTTTGATCTCCAGCTATTAACCTGATTGATTGAAGTACTTCAATCAACATGTACAATGCACAGTCTTTTAGGATGTATAATTAGGGACATTGAGATAAACAACAAATAGTTTATTTGGTGAATCACCTCATTGTTGTTCTCAAAACCAAATAATACATTGTTATAAATTGTTATATTTGATTTACACATAGAATGTACATGTTTAATATACATAGTTAAATCCTAAAAAAATGGTTGTGTTGTATGATTTCTTAATACTGTATGTTATAACCTTTTGCATAACTTGATTTTATGTTCTGTTGTCCATGCTTTTCATGTTAGACTAACCCCAACGCTCTAGAGTCAACATACACCCTTATGGTGGCCTTTTACTTGTATTGTGGTGAAACACATAAGTAAATCATTGCCAGAGAGGACCATTTTATTGTTTTAAAAACAATGTTATTGATGTGGTTGATTGATGAATAAATATAAATTAAGCATACTTCTGTGGTACTTTTTGTTGTTTACATCACACTGCATTATAATGCGTTTGGAAATAAATTCATTTAGAAGTAACAATATGGGTTAGCACTTGAATATTTTTGTAAAGAGATGATCCTCATCTGGAACACTGGTTGTTAGTTTAAGATAAGATAGAACTTTATTGATCCCAATTTGGGAAATCTTTGCGTTGCAGCAGCATTAAAACACATGGCATTATACAATAAAAAGACAAGAAATAAAGAAGAAAATATACATGTTGAATTTACAAATGAGCAATAACAAGATATAAAGCAAGGTATTATATTTACATAAGTATGTGACAGATGGAATATTAAATATTACACTGAATATGTCAAATGTACTGTGAAGAGAGCAGCTATGGAGCAGAGAGTTCTCTTCCAGCCAGAGGTGATTTGTTGTACAGAGTTATTGCAGTAGGCAGGAATGTTTTCCTGTATCGGTTCCTGTGACAGCGGAGCTGCAGCAGTCTGTTGGAGAAGGAGCTCCTGTCTGTCCAGGTGGAGAGGGGTGGGGTTATCTGTCTGTCCAGCTGCAGGTGGAGAGGATGGGTGGGGTTACCCATGATGGAACCAGAATAAGGTTTGTTGGCTTACACGCCTTTCATCGTAGTGGAAAATATTGTCATATGGAATATTTTTGGATAGTTTCACCATTGAAATGCGTTTGATAACACTAGGTGCTCTAGTGCCAAAGTTGTGGCCCTAAAAAAATATCAACTATTCATTTGTATGGCACCCAGAGCTTCCACATTTTAGGGAATATGTTTTTTGATTTAAAATATCATCACTGTCATAAGCAATGGTTACATTAAAACCCTCCTATTGTATTCGTTTCCCCCCCTTACTTTGGTGTTCGCGGTCAAATTTGACCGGTCCTGTTTTAACTGCTATTACATGAACACAAAAACCGTTAATCATCACCAAATGTAATTTAACACCCTTTCAAACTGTAAATATTGTATCAGACTACTGGTATACATGAACAACTGCAGTAAATATACAAAGAATAGACACTGAACATGTATTGGGTGTGCCGGGGGGATGGGCACATAAGAGCGGGAAATGTTTCAAATTGGTGTGTGTGTGTGTGTGTGTGTGTTTGATCTGATCCGGATGGTTACTAATTCCTTGTCTTTATGGCGGGAACACCATGGGTGTTTCAAAGTTGACTAAATCATCCAAAGTTCAATGAAAGTGGTGATCAGCAATTTAATATGTTCAAATGTCTACTGTGGAGGATATCATTATGCCTTAATGCAATCGAATGTAAAACAAAAAAGTTATGATTGATGAAAGTAGTAAATCGGTCAAATTTGAACCAAACACAACAGGAGGGTTAAAAGCATAGCTATGCTACATACTGTAGGCTACTGTGCTTAGAATGGACTGTTATTTCATATTAAAAAAAGAAATTATTTTTCTTTTACTTTCTTTTTTACAAGTGTGCATGCGCTACAGTCGTGCTGCCATAAAAGACCCCCTGATCACCTCGCAGCTGTCCAGCATGAAATGAGGTCATATGAGGTCATATATGAGGCGGCTGTTGTTGGGGAATTACTTTAACTTGAATTTGATTTGTATTTCTTTGCTGGATTATTGACCTCTTCTCTCTCTGAGAGGAACAGGCAGCAGCCCCAGGGCTGTCACACGGTTCTGTACAATATGTAAACTCTCCCTCCGTCTCTTTCGGGCCTATAACAGCGATGCCCAGGAAACCATGGAAATAAGCCTCCATTCTTTGAGATAATAACAGCATAGTGGATATATCAGGGTCAGAATACCTGAGGCGAGATCTATGGCTTCTCCTTGCCTGACCAGACCTCTCTCTAGGTCGTCCTCAGACGAGCCCTCCATCGTCGCTTCTAGTCATCCCGGTTCTCCATACATCTGGCCAGTTCATTGGTACTTTGTGCTCCTGCGTCATTCTTGAGTACGTCCACGTATGTTAGTGTGTGACGTCCTCGTGACCGATGCCCGTGTGTTGGTTCCCACAGCACCAATTTGCTGGCTGGCAGCTCTTGATGCCTTTGGCAATGTCCTGCTAGTCTCATTCTCCTGGCTGCAATTTTCTCGCTCACCCTTGGTATTCCCTCATACAGGATCATGTTGGTTACATGTACACTCTTGCTGATGTTAAGTACAATCTATGGCTTCTTCTTGCCTGACCAGACCTCTCTCTAGGTCGTCCTCAGACGAGCCCTCCATCGTCGCTTCCAGTCATCCCGGTTCTCCGTACATCTGGCCAGTTCATTGGTACTTTGTGCTCCTGCGTCATTCTTGAGTACGTCCAGGTGACCTCAGACCTAGTGAGAACCAGATTCCACTATGAGAGAACCAGATTCCACTATGAGAGAACCAGATTCCACTATGAGAGACATCACTTGCCTCCTCATGTTGATAGATGTACATGCAGTGGTGTAACTATCGACGGTGCAGCCGGTGCCACGCACCGGGGCCCAGGGCCGGCCAGGGGCCCAACGGCATTGGCGGGTTCACGCAGTCTTCAAAGTAACCAAGCAACCTAAATTAATTAGGTCCAAAACAATATTTGCACCGGTGCCAATCATAACCTTGTTATGCCACTGTGTACATGTATCTTTGTTGAGTAGGTTAAATCAGCCGGGCAGGGAGAGAATCTTCAGAGTTGATGGTGGCGGAGAGCTGGGCACAAAGCTCTAAACTCAAACAAACAGTGTTTGTGCTTCTGTCATTTGTCAAATCTCCAGCACAGACTTTTTATCTAATTATTTCTACTTTTCTATCTCAAAAGATTATGACTTTTTTATCTCATAATTATGACTTTTCATTGGGAAAGTCTTTTTTATTGGGGAAACAGGCTTCTATAAATAATAATGTGCAATTACATATACATTTTATTTTACTTATAGAATAAGAAAAATAAACATAAGAATAGTCTACTGAAGATAAAAGCATGGACAAGTTTTTCCAAATCCTGCTGTGACATTAGTCTTTTAATCCTAGATATGTTCTTTAGGTGATAGTAGGCTGATTTAGTAACTGTTTTAATGTGACTGTTGAAACTCAGGTCAGAGTCCATGGCTACACCTACGTTTCTGGCTTTATATGTTTTTTTTAACATTGTATGTTGAGTTGGCACTTCAGCTGAAAACATACAAAAACACAGAAGAATAGAAAGTTAACCCATTGAAATGATATGAGAGCAGCGCTACAAACTACAATTCCCATTAGATACGCGCCCAAACATCGTTACGAAGTACACAGAGCTGACATATTTGTAGTTCTTCCGGCGTGTGTGCGTGGACTCGTTCGACTTGTCTTGCGTTGACGGCCGTATAGGCTCCATTCCCTTTCAGAAAGCCGTCAATCGGGCGCGATCCGAAACCAAACCCTGTGTTTAAAAAAATATACAATACAAATGTGCACTTTTGTCTCCTTTGCAACGGCAGTATCGTTTGTCTAGTACTTCCGGGTGGCGATCTGAGTTCGGGTACCGTATCTGTGACGTGACAAAGGGTCGCCATGACAACGTGGGGATGAGATGTGGATAACTTTCCAGATAAAGACCATCCTGATACTCGAGTTGTGGTTTTCAATAAGTGAAAAAGAAAATTCAAAGTAATCACTACCATTTTAATATCTCAAGCATTTAAATATGTCCCCAAAAGCTTTCAAATGTAGTAGCAAAACCACAGTGATCCAGATCAGGATCATTTTAATTAGGCCTATAATTAAATGATATGCAAGCCTACCTCCAAAGCGTTATACTTCGGAAGTTAAACAAATTAGATAAGGCAGTGGATGGCAACGTACCAGATTTCACACATGAATATGCTTAATATAGGTTATGGTGTTCCTATCACTGACAATGAAATCATGTAGTATTTCAACTGTAATTTCCTAAAAAGTCAAATGCATTTTGGTGGAGGTTTTCATCTTATTTCTAATAGAAACATATTAAATATGACTCAAATGGAGCATATAAACAAGAGAATAACGTGCAAAAACAAAACTGGAGTTCAAATAACAGTTTTTATTTTTATGCATTATCCCGGAGAATTCTTCGGCTGCCAGGAATGAGCCCACTCCTTGCCACTGAAAACAGAATGGAATAATGTTAGTTACAGGTACTGGTTTCGTCTTTCCGAAAAGCATAAAACATGTGTGAAGCAAACATCTTATAACTCAATTTATATAAGTAAATGTTTCATTTTCCATTTAACGACCACCACCATTTAGAAAAAGTGAACATAGAAATGAAAACACATTTTCAAACAAACAATAAAAACAAACCAAAATACATACATTAACAACAATGAAGTTAAACAATCATTTGTTCCTACACTACTTCAGCTGCTTCAGAATAACAGCAGTGAAATATATAAGAGGACTGGTGGTAGATCTGGATGTTTTGCATTTGTTAAATATCATGTGTTTGTTCTCCAACATGGGACTACATCATATGACATGAAGCCAAGTAACTGGAAGATATATACCATACTGGACAGGGCTCCCACTCCACCAACATTTCTGCTTTTCCCTATCAAGAGAAGAAAACAAATCTCTAATTTCGGAAAGACCAAACGCATATTAGCTATTTAGCAAACAATTGTGGTGGAAATCACATAAATCATAAAGCACACCCTATGCATTACTTTTATTCCTGTCTAACCTTTCTCATTCTTTCTCTTATTACACTCCTGATGGGGAAAGTTTCTAGGCGAGTGTGGTAGGAGCAATCTGTGAACATCAAAGCAGGTTCCACATACAGTATTAGTCATATTAGAAATAAAATAAATACAACTATGAACACTTAAGTAGCAACCAGACTTGCACGATGAATAGTGATCACACTGTTATCACTGGTCAAAAGTTACTGTATACATCATTGAAATGGAACCAAGCTGCTCTCAGTCCTAAAATGGGATGCTTGTTTGAATGGCCATACCACTGCTGAGCCTGAGATGACCAAAGAAAATACTGCACTGCTGCTTCCTTTACTGCCTAGCATTCTCATCACCACCTTATCAACTATGACTGTATGTATTTTACTCTAATTAGACAATTAAAGCCCTTTGGATTTTTGGATAATGATTTTTGGATAATGTATCAGTTATAGTTATTAGTCACAATATAGCGTTGTTAACTCACTGAAGAAGCATCAATCACTGCGTTTACATGCACTTTGCTAAAGTACATGTCGATAGATTTATTAGAATACCAATCAATTCAACTCATGCACATGTTTATAATCAGTCAAAATACTTAATACTGTTAACATACCTGACTTTTTCTTTTTGCGTCTAGGACCAAGTACTGTGTCCCTCACGGACCCTGTCCTGACAGCTGTGGGTTGAAGAAGAAATATTACTATATACATACAGTATACCAAGTTAAGCTTAAACTCAAGTTTCAAAATACATCCCACAAATGCAGCATCACATGATGCAATAGGTGTTAGGTACAGATATCTTTTTGTTATTGCGATTTAATTGAGGTTGATCTATGAAGTCTAGGTGTTTTGTTGTCTTGCCTATATAATTGACTCCATACTTTATGTGTAAGGAATAGTTTGATAAATATTAACATGTTGTGCTGTAACGTTAAATGAATTTAACTTTGATTCAAAAACCTAAGTTTATTCCCCGTATATTCATTATGGGACAGTGTCATATCTAAATGCAGTTCTTGAGTATAAAGTTTAAATATGCTGCATGACGTTGTTGCATGAGTTGCTTCAAAGTTTACCCCTAGGGTCAGGGATTGCTTTAGGTAGACCACAATATTAATGATATCAACCTCTCGTACAATATATGGACAAGTGCCAAATCATTTTGATGTAATCGACCTACTGCCCAACGCTACAATGTAAGACCCTTTCTGTGTGTAAACAAAATGACATGAGTTTTATTTTGTGATTTATCAAATGTATAGTAAGCCTGCTGTTGCTTTGCATTTTTGTGTGAAAAAGGTATAACCATATAGTAACCACATGTCTGTTCAGGAATGAAAGACTGTATTTTTCTAAATGTTTAATATTTATTTATATCCAAGTACCTAAGGATATACACATACCCAAGTATCCCATTTTCCTTTCATATTTATGAAGTTGTAGGTGAAATTGTTATTTAGATTAAGCTATTGTTGTTATTATTATTTACCTATTGGAACAATCATTATTCCCAAAAATGCAAGAAGTGCAATTAGGTGTTTTGAGATAATGTAGAAGCATGACTTGTCAACAAGTTACCTACAATAATCTTTTAGGAAGATATCGGAAAACACTCTTGACTTTCATAAATATAAAAGCTGCAAATCTCAGAGAACAAATGTCACTGTGTGTGCTGTGTGCTCTGCATGTGTGACCATTAAAGAGGGTTTCATCCCTCCGATTCGATCTATCTATCTATTTTATTACCTGGCCCCTCCGTGGTGGTAGCCTGTCTCAGATCATCCCGCTGGGGCTGCTCCTCCTGCCCTACCTCTTTGGTGGTACACTGCTTCACGGGGGGGGTCTTCAGCACCTCCACCTGCACAGTGCTTGTCTCTGACGTCCCTGCCTCCTGCCAGTTGTTTTCTGGTTCAGATGGGTCACAGGGTGTGAGGTTCAGCGTGACTGTCTCTTCCTCAGGATCTTCCACAACCCCCTGGCCAGTGGAGTCCTGTGTCCAACCTGTGCAAGTTAAACAAATGTTGGTCTTGACTTGCTTAAGACAAAGAGGTTAACTCATATATCTAGAAATAAGAAATACAGCGTGCTTAATGTATGTTTCCAGACAGGGTCAAAAATATACTCGTCATGTCATAGGACTGTGTGCAGTCAAAGTTAATAGCAGTAATAGTGGTATTTATCCAGTCAACCATTTATGGTTTTGTTTTTGCGATATTATTCTTCCGATTTGTGTCTACATTCCATGTGATGTGACATGTCAATTCGTCGGTAGACAACATATAGACGTGTGCATGTATGTTCCCTTACATTATTTACATCCACACATTTTGTTCAGAATTTATAAGACTGACGCAAACGTGTTTTGCATAAGTGCAATCAAATAAGTAGCAAGTCGCTTTGGATAAAACGTCTGCTAAATGTAATGTAAAGGGACCTCTGGATGCACTGGATAACTGCTTTTGTTTACAACCCGAGAAACATGACCTTAATACAGAACTGCCAAACTGAATATGTGGTCAACTGGGATCGTCTTCATGTATTGTGCTCTTACCATTAACCTCAAAACATTTCTCCCTTGTGGGCGTTGATAAAGCAAACAGTTTAGGAACGGTTTGCTAAAAGGAAATTGCTTAAGGGATGGCTCAAGCCTAAAACTACATTTCAGTCATCAAACCCAACTACCTTGACATTAACAACTTTCAATTTGTATACAATGAATGCGCAAGTGGTAGCACAATACCCCAAAATGGTTTTTCAAATTCAAGTAAACTTGCCTACCTATTTCCTGATAAATAACAGTTAAATGTCCACAAGTCCCCTCTGCAGAGTAAGCCATGTCTCATTAGGCTACATACTCAGTGTTTAAAAATGTATTTATTGTATGTAGTTTGCTAAAATAATAAACAGTCAAACGTTGTCCATATCCCTACATATTTTGCAATTACTTTCAACTTTTGTAATACTTAGCAGCTAAAAATAGTGACAGTTAACAAGTAGAAAGGATGTGTGTTAGTTGTCTCACAAAAATATAGTTTGCCAAACCCAAATAAATGGCTCGAATGACTGCTTTCTGGCTGTATCAAAGGATAAATACTGGATGAAGTTGTTGTCCCACAAGATTTGGATGGATTGAAAACAGTCGCTGTAAGTTGTTGTTAACTTAACTGACTTTATTAAATGAGTTGATCCAAACTCATTCCATATAACTGTGTTGGTTATAAGGAAATGTTAAGCTCTCCAACGTTTATACTGTCAGGGAGGTAAGGACTCGTTGACTGAACATGTTTTAGGGGTGAACCATCCCTAGAAGAGTTTAACATTGATACAAACATTTTGTGTACACAATACTGTGAACTGTGAAGATATAGTGCAAGCATCTCACCTTCACAAAGGAACTCATAAAAAGTGCCTATCTTGTCAAGGTAATCCTGGGCATAGGCGGTCAGTGTGCAGCGAGGGGTTAGGATTTCACATTTGACCTCCTTCTTCCTGGTCTCCTTGCCAAGAAGCAGCACTGGTTTAAAGCCAATGGCATGGAGTTTCTCAAGCTGTAATGACAAAATAATATATTTACTGTTTAAAGAAATGGAAAGGAAACAACTATATAACTACAACTATAACATTACTGATGACAGCATCTAGTTGTATGCCATTCATAAACCTAGATGCTGAGTTTAGCTTTTGCAGAATCATGTATTTACCAGGAAGGGTTACACAGTAGAAGCAGAAAAATATTTTATAGACAAACACAAAATACAAATAAATCAGTATCCTGAGTCCCAGTTCAAACCCTGATAATCTTAAAGTTAAAGTACAATAAGATGCAAATGTGTGACCACTCAACAATTAACAGTTAACACTTGTGTACACAATGAGTATTGCATAATTAAAAATGTAACACAATCCAAGCATAGCTTGACACTGTTGAAATTGAAATTGCGTGCTGCAATGTAAAACGTTCCCGTATGTTGTGGCTGCAGTCGTAAGAGTAATATAGAGTAGTAACATACAATGATGTAGTCTTATTAAAGTTAGGGTAGGTAAGTTTGAGAAACCGGCTCGAGATACACTTGTTATATTCCATGGAATGCTCTTAACATCCCGATAGCAATGAATATCTTAAGTGCTTTGACAAAAAATCCATAAATAAATGTCATCTGTGGAAGCCGTAGTACTGTAAAAAGCACGACCAATCATTTGAGCCGGCCCGGCTAAAATAACTGGATGGCCTACCTGCCTGTCAGCCTTCCATCTGTGCACAAACTTATCTCGTGCCCTCATTGGTCATGTGCGCGTTCGTGTGTGTTGGAGGAGGGGCTCTGTGAGGAAGTGGCAGATTTTCTCCGGTTGTGTATTTTCAAATTCTAGCGATCTCGAGCCGGTTTCTCAAACTTACCTACCCTACCTTTAATGTCTAAAAGTGTGTACATAAGCAAGAATGGAACACAACATGGAAGTGAAGGAAGTGCTCTGTTTATTTAAATGTGAAAGTTAAATTAAAATAGTGTCCCTTGGCTGTGAAAGTTAAGATAAGAGTAGTTTTAAAATTGAAAGAAAAGAGAATATTAAATAATACCTTTGCAATAATATCTATATTTGAAGTTGATATCAAAGTGTATATTGGTTAATAAGATACAAACATCATTAAGAAATAAATGTATATAAAAACAACATTCAACTTTATCCTGGCCCAATATATTGGCAAACAGTCGGGGGTCCGTCTGTGTCAGTTATTTGGTGTCAGCTTGGTGTGTCCGGGCATTAACATACAGTAAAAAGTGTACATACCAAGACAATGGCTTCATCCTTGATGGAAGCAATGTTGTGGTTCTTCTTCCGCCCAGACACCCAATCCTCTCGCTTCTCATCAAACCGCTTGAGCTTCTTCTCAAGGCGCAGCTTTTTTGGCTGCTCCTTAAGGCAATGTGCACAGATCTTCTGTGCACAAAATAAAATGTTCTGACAGAAGGGACATGTCTTTTTTGTAGACCCACCTGGCATGATTAACACAGGATTACAAACAGACAGACTGACAAACACAGGAAAGTAGAGAAGTACACAGAATAGATAGAAGGGTGAATAAAGAAATAGATGATAGATATAAGAGAGCTAGATAGGGAGATAGGGAGAGTTTGGCTCTTAAAAGTGCCGTTGGTTTTATGATGGTGTAGATCAGTGTATGGGTTTGTGGTGTGGGTACAGGAGCTGCAGGAGAGAACAGAAAAAGTGAATTATGTAGTGAAACTAGCTTTTTTAAATGCACATTGTGACGGTTTAACTACTTTAGACAGACTGAGTGAGTTCATTTACGTGTTTCCTGTTTCAGACTCGTAACAAGCACATGGCCGTGCACATGGACTATGCCCCTCCCCCCCAAACATATGTTAAATGTCCGCTCGGCAGCGTTAGTACTGTCATGTGTCAAACAAAAGCGATTAAGATAACGTATAACTCACACTTTAACACCGACGTATGTAGCCGTAATTAAGACAAATATTTTCCACACACCACTTATGAGCTGATATAAATGTAGCTAAACTAGTTTAAGCTTATGTTGAACGTGAGCTAGCTAGCTAGCCGCCCGCAAGAATAATTTCACATTAATGTTGCTTTGCTGATTATGGCGGAAGCATTTCTCAGACTTAGAACAGTTCATTATGTATGATGAACTATGCGAGAAAAGGCTTAAAAAAAAGCCCCAATTATTAAATCATGCATCAGACTTTAGTAACACAACTTACTTTGTCAGAGGATGGATCGCAATGCCGGTGGCAGCGGTCTTTGGCCAATAGGTGGTGCTCTGAATTATGTCATTTCCTGTACCGATTATACAATAAAATATTAATACATTTCCTATATTTTGACACAATAACTATTTAATAACCTAAGTAGCCTACAGACAAAAACAGAAAAGTATATATTGCCTTATAAAATGCAGAAAAGTGTAAACATCAAGCATGATAATAATAAAATAAAAGACTAATGATATCTTAAACCTTAATAAATAAAATGGAAAATTAACCGACAACAACAATTTAACATAAATAAAACAAGGATTAAAACAAGGATAAGTTTGACTCAATGTTGTGTAAAGTACCCGTTATGGTTAAAAAATTAATCAAATTAAAAAAAAAACATTGAAAATAATACAGCTTCCGGTTTCCGACGGTCTCCCTTCTCCTGGCAAATATCCTAAACCTTAATAAATAAAATGGACAATTGATCGACAATAACAATTTAACATAAACAAAACAAGGATAAGTTTGACTCAATGTTATGTAAAGTACCCGTTATGGTTAAAAAAAATAAACATTAGAAAATAATACAGCTTCCGGCTTCCCGAGACACGAAGAGGAGACACGAACAATTCTTCCACTTAAAATGCATTACTTTGAAAATCGTGCTTTCTGACACGAAAGAAACGTGTGCATAAACACCATATCCCTACATGCATTGCGGCTAAAACATCCAATCACCGCTGAGGATTATTGAAAAGTCCTAAATCTGTTTCTGGTATTGTTTCGGACTTTATTTTGAAATTCAGTTCCTGACAGACGTCAAAAAAGCCCGAGATTATCGAATTAAACCAATAAATAAAAACAAGGATAATTGTGTGTTATTGTTGAGTAAATAACAGTGTGTTATTTTGAAAAGAATAACAAATTAGAAGGAAAAAAAGATTTTAAAAATACAGATTTCAGTATCCTGAGGCTCTGAGCCCCATTTTTTTCCCTCACAGACGGCAACAAAAGTCCGAAATGATACGATTTTAAATAAAAGCAATAATCGTGGCTTGATATTGAGTAAGAACATGTTTTTATGAACCACACAGCTTCCGGTCTTCCACGACCAGACCGAGAAAAAGACGTGTTGACTTTATTTTGAAATTCAGTTCCTGACGGACGTCAAAATAGCCCGAGATTATCAAATTAAACCAATAAATAAAAACAAGGATAATTGTGTGTTATTGTTGAGTAAATAACAGTGTGTTATTTTGAAAAGAATAACAAATTAGAAGGAAAAAAAGATTTTAAAAATACAGATTTCAGTATCCTGAGGCTCTGAGCCCCATTTATTTTCCTCACAGACGGCAACAAAAGTCCGAAATGATACGATTTTAAATAAAAGCAATAATCGTGGCTTGATATTGAGTAAGAACATGTTTTTATGAACCACACAGCTTCCGGTCTTCCACGACCAGACCGAGAAAAAGACGTGTTGCAGGCACGAAACACATTACCAATAGAAATACATTGCTTTTAAAATCGTTCTGTGTGACACGAAAATAAGGGGATAATCGTGGTGGTGCACACGAATCAATAGATTAAATAACGTGACTATAACACGAAATGCCGTGAGACTGGGTTGAGTATTGACAATCTAAAAAAACTGAGCAACTCAACAGTCAACTTTATATTTCTTATTGTCTAAAGCATTTATTATTTTCATTTTTCCCCTCTCATATTCAGTGTGGATGGATTGAGACAGTGTGGTGTCCAGAGAGCTGCAGAGACTTCAGAGAGAAACCTCCGTGTGATGGACGTCCTGTCTGTTGGTTTGGAGAGGACTGAGGGTCTTTCCTCTGTGAGGAGGACCAGGCCTGATGGAGGAGCCCATGCATAGCTGATACCACCTGCACAGGCCTAGTCTGTCACTTTATTTGACTAAATGTGTTTACTTATACATTTAATAGGTTTACACCTTCTGTCCATATGTGCTTTTTATTTAAAACATGTTTGATTAACTTTTGGTTCACATTTCAATAAATTGAATTTGTATTTGCACTCCTTTTGTCCATTATTCTTACTGAAAATGTTAGATTACACATTCACATCTGACTGAAGATTGGCCCCATTTATTTGCGTTGCAAACTCTGCGGTACAAGGTACATGTTGTGAAGCTCATGAAGTGAGGCAAATAGAAATAATCAGCTGATGGAGTGTAGATGTGGAAATAGGTGCATTCGATCAGCTGACTGTGTTTTCACAATAAAAATAGTTTCTTAGTGAATGTCCTGTACTGGTCTTAACATCTCATAACATCAGCTTTTAATTTTCCTATTGGATGTTTTTCTTGACCCTCGGAGAAAGAGGAGATGCTGAGTCGTGTCTTTCACGCATGTCCTTTCCTAACAAAAATTACAGGAAACATAAAACATATTATTGCAGAACAAGTGTGTTATTTATGAAAGAGGTGTGCTTGTGTTTAGGGGCTGTAGATATAATTATTTTGTAATTGTAATGTTTTTTTTTATTTCAACAGTGAGCTACAAAGACAATCAGATTATGAATGAACAGTATGAAATTCATCAACATTGAAATGTATTTTATTATCAAAATAATATTTAACTGTTATTAAAACAAGCTTGCTCTGTTGTCTCACTGAAAGAATAACTTTTACCACATTTTTACAGACAATATTGAGAGATAAATAGCAGTTGTCACTCTGCGTTAAATATCTTTGCCTTCAATACATTAAATTAGAAAGCTGACAGTCATATTGCTTGTTAACATCTAAATGTAACCCTTTGCATGGAAAAAACCCTCAACTTCACTGATGTGTAGGTGATCTAGTATTTAGTATTGTTTAATGGAATGTATAGCAGTGTCTTAAAGTCAATACTTCATTTATTTAAACCAATATCTTTCTTGATTCTTTGTACAGTATGAAAAAAGAGTATTTGTACCTGTGCTGAAGTTCACTGCTGTGAGGAGTCCAGTTCTGTCTCTCACTCTCTGGTCCAGCCTGTCTGCATCACCTGGACACTTTAAACAAACAGATATATATGTAAAGAACCATGTGTACAAACAATATAACTTATTCTCTTCTGTTGAACATGTTGGATTGTGTATTGGCCGAGTCAGGGTCCTTTTTATTTTACTGTAACTTTGGAAGTTGTGTTACCAATGCTTACTGTTTATTTGATACCAATTTGGTAATGCAATTAATAAAAACAACAAGGTTTGGGTTCGTTCTTCAGATGACTGTGATGTTAACGTGTAAGCTCAATAATGAACTCCAGCTCAACCAACCATATTGTAATATCTAAGTAATCATCTTGAAATATGACATTAATAATTGTAATATACACACATCTTATTGTGAGGTTGATTTCACATACACTACTTCGACGTTAGCTTGTCTACATACTTGAGCATAGCCAATTTAAATTAACCTTAGCGATGCATACAGTTCCTACCTACATAATAAAATATCTCTCTAAGTTACAAGGATGACCTTATTTTATCAACCTCAAACAGAAGCCTTTTGTTCTACAGTATTATCCCACTTAACGCTTAACACTTGTCTATTTCGTTTTAACCTTTATATATACAGTCTATGGTTTTAAGTTAACTTGGAGGCTAAGATTAGCATCGTTAGCACCGATGTAGCTACCACTCGCTTACACGCTAACCCAAGCCTTAACATTCATTACGTAGCTGATTGAAATCATAAATAAAGTACTCGAATTTCACTTACCGCACAACGGCATTCATGCACCGTCTGTTTTAACCGCAGAGCGAGTCACAATAGTCCGATATATAAGCATGAAGAACAAACAAACACGGCCGGGGTCAAGTTGTGTTCCCTGGATGAACTGAGCAGGCAGAGTCCCTGTAGCTTCACGGAGACGGAGCAGCTAGCAGAGAGACAAGAAGCTAACAGCAGCAGTCACTTGACAGAGCTGTCACTCAATGTGACCACGCCCTAATTTATGCAAAAACTTTAAGACCTAATATATATAAAAGGGTCATGTTAGAAAACAATTCACTCACAGATTCATAATCATGAAGGTGGAATCTAACTATATACATAATAATATTTATTGCATCCAGGGCTAGAAACGTTTTTTTTCTGCTGTGAAATTGGGCATTTTAACATGGGGGTCTATGGAAATTGCTCCTTTCTGCAGTCATCGCCTATCGGCCAATATATGAACTACAGTTTGTGGCACTTCCGTATTGGCGTCCCGGCTCTTCCCCAGAGTTTGCCGCTGGGTTGCAACTGACAAACCACATGAACAAGTCAAGACACAGTATAGCCATAACATACTTTAAATAACTTTTATTTATGTAATGTTGTGAGTGAAGTGTGTGATGAGTGTAAAAAGATGTAATGTGGATCAGTATCAGTATTTAATTGTCCTCCTGGTCTGCCTCTAAAACCACCTTGTGGATGGCAAATCTGACTCGCAGCCTCTTTGCTCTTGACATGAGTCTCATG